GAATAAATTCGTTTATTTGCCTAGGAATGAGACAGTGCTGGCAGGGCAATGCAGACCAAAGGTGCTACACTGAATCGGTTTGACTGCCTTGGTCATGTGGTCATTGGTGCACCTCTGGTTTCAGTCACAGCTCAGCTAGTCATAGCTTTACCTCAAACGCTGGTCGCACCATAATGCTTTACGGTTTTGAAACCTGGATTCTGCTGAAACAGGATCTCAGTAGGTTTCAGTCGTTCTGCATGAAATGCTGGCAACCGATGTTGACTGTTGAACACCAAATGGACATATAGCATTATGAAAACAAGTTAGCAGATGAGCAGACCTCTCAAGTGAGCACATGCATCACGGGATGAAGAACAACTCTCGTCGAAAGGGTACAACATCTGCCAGAAAGAGCCCGACTTATAAAGCGGTATAACTGCTCATTCACGTAACAGTCACGGAATTTAGCCATCATCCGCACGGAAAGCACCATGCGGTTATCCGAAGAAGTCCTGATTTCAGCGGCTGATTGCCCACTATAATGAAGAACTGTTTGCCTGCTTTGTGTCGTCAAGGACCGCGCAACCAATACGTTGATTTATATTGTATTTAACGTTTAAACGAATCACCCATTTTGAAGGTGGATAAATTGAAAATACGATGCATGCAAGATTTCTATACAGATTTAATCTCGGCGTTCTCGTCAAGGAAAGGAACAGTGACTGAAGTAAAGGATTGTATAGCAAGGACCGATGAAGCGTAAGTTTCGTAGCCGTTTAATCCATTGAAACTTTCATGAACCCTACAACGGTAGCGTGAGGAAATTGATTTGAATGGCCGTTGACGAAATGCAGCGCTGCCGCTATACCGTACTGTTCAGATATTGTGGCCCTTTTCGCCATTATCTCTTGAAAACCCAGATCTGATCTCAGTTTTCTGAGCCCATTGCGTTGTGCATGATTATGTGCGATACCAATGAATTATGCCTTTTGTTTGCGTGCTGTTTATTGCTTTATTAGCAGTTTAAGTGCTTTCAGGAAAGGGCCAAACATCTTATGTTATGCATGAGCCAGTCCTATGGACGCAGCCTTGTTCGAAACATGATCAGTTTCCCGACGAATCCAAGCGAAGGTGTCAGTGACATGCGGTCGCTTCACTGCCGTCACTCATATTGTCTTTGCCAGTTTGTCAAGTGTGTATGTTTTGACAAGCCAGGTTCTTCCGAGAGCATTTCATCATTCCTGCAGACACGTTGTTACAGCTATTTCATCTAGCTGTTCGACGCCTTCATCGCCTACTACCATCATTCCTTTCAATCGTTATAGTAAACTGCCCAGCCGCCGTTGCTGTGAAAATACGGGCGTCGTGAAAAAGCTAATATTGTTTTGTTCCGCATGTTCTCGGTTTGCTCCGCTACTAATGCGTTTTCTCCTGTTAATTGGTGGTTTTAACTATTCGCGTTAAACTATAAACGTACTGGACCAAATTTTATCGTTTGACATATCCTCTTTCATTTATGTAATTCGAACTAGCGTGCGCTCACGTTTTGTGTAGCACTTATTTTTGTCCTTGCACGGTTTTGGTTCTGGTAATTATTTTGTTTAAAGGGTTTGGTGCCATTTTAAGCGCCGTGTTCATGTTGTCATTGCTGATTGCATTATACGCGGAAATCTCACTCCTCGGTTGTGCTATGTTCAAAAGCATCTTGAATTGCTGTGATCAGTGGAGGAAATTCTAGCGCACGTTTTCTCCATCGTGCAACTAACCAACTAATTTCATGTGCATTGCACTGTTGTTCTGGCCAAATTCGGCAAATAAACTTCGAGCCGACTTCTGACTTGTCTTTGAATGCGTTTATGTCATCGATCCGAAATGCTTTCATTTAGATATTGTTCTTGTGTTCTATTGCTTTTAAGCTGTTTTTGTGTATTGAACTCGATAATTTCGTTGCCGACCTGCTGTGAAACACTCATTCTCTTCTAGAAATATCTGAGTGTGAGGAATAAGTTTCAATCTATCATACCTGCCCTTAGTAAAAGGAGGAACAAGAAACTTACTTTAGAATGAAGCATGGTTCAAAACTGGTAACGCAGAGGGCTTTAATTATCTAGTATGCTGGCAGGTTCACAAAATCTAATTTTAGTGTCCGCTTCGCGGACAAAATCCCTTGACGGGTGGATAAAGTGGAGTTTATATTCCTCTGCGAAAATGGTACCTTCGCAGAAGTGTGCTCAACCCCATGACCAGGAGTACCTGGGGCTGACAGCTCTGAATGCGTTTTTAAAGTAAGATGTTTTCACCGCAAACAGATGGAATGATTTTGGCTCATCATCAGCGGGAAATGTGAATGTTTTCTCTTTCTATTTACGTTATAAATGCCAGATGTTGACTTTAGGGTGAGAAGAACAGTAGTGCTATAAGATGATGGCTGGAAATGGAAGGAAAGTGACATTTTGATTGCTGCTTGATTGATCATGACTGAAAAACCCAAGTAATAAGAACTGTTCTCATCATTCTAAACGGAGGGTGAAATTAGTCATTGTCAAAGTTACGATTCGCAGTCCTGGTCCTCTGACGGTCTGATAAACCGCTGAAACTAGATTACGAGGTGTCAAATGACTTTGTGAAGGAACCCTATTTCTGACTCTTCTCTCTGACATTCTGACAACATGTTCAAGTTAGCATTTTTAATCTCTAGATCTGGAAAGGAAGCGAGCGGTTCGCAAAAGCGATTGTCTCAGATTGCCGCGTTTCTGTCTTCCGAGTATTTCCTTGTCTGTAAAACTGTTGGAAAATTTATAAAAAGAATTTGCTATCAGACATGGGAGAATGACTGTATTGTTCAAAATAGGTTGATTCCGTCGAACAAGAAATTCGCAACAGTATTTTGTAGTTTCGGCAAAGGCAGTTACTCATCAAATCAAAGAGACCGTGGGACATGTCATCGAGACCGTTCATCTCTTAATTTGCAGATCGTATCAGAAATGCTGATGGCTTTGCGTTGATTGGTCATATAGACATGACGTCGAAAAGAAAACTGACGGTTCGATTATATGTCGGGTTAACCATGCCTCACTAGCTTATCAGTTGTTGACTTTGAAACCTAGACCTTTTAAACCTGCACAGTATAGACCTTGGTCGAAGTAACTAAACATAGACATGTGATCAGATGTTTCATTTGTTGACGCAGTAAACACCTCAACAACTTAGGTTCAAAATGCGAAACTAGGTAATTGGACATCTAAAATCTTAAGCAGCCTAATGTTCCGCAGCGAAGATACGAAAATTATAACGCAAAAGTATGATCATGATGAAGCTCGTTACGCGATCTTGCAGTTTTAAGCCAATGATTTAAGTGTAAGTGTACGGTAGCGTTCCACGTTAGCTAGCAAATTTAAACACAAGATGTCAATAAATTTAAAAAGAAATGCAAATGGTTGATGTAAGCATTTCGAGCTAAATTTCATAGTCCTGCGAGTTAGATTGTAACCAATGATAATTTTATCGCCCTGATTTTTGCCTAAATCAACGTGGTCCTGTGACACTAGGAGCTGTGAGATTTATAAACGGCATGGTTTTACTTTGAAGAAACTTATTTTGTGTGGTGTCTAAATTGTTCCAGAAATTGCTAAGTGTTCTTTTGAAAACTTTATTTTGATCACACAAGCGAAAATAGCATGGTACGGGATGGTAGAACTGCTGGCATTTCGTTCCGGTCCTATGAGCCTTCTTCAGTGTACACTTGTACAGCTAATTGTTGACTTCATCGCTGCGGCACTGGGATGATAAACATTCTCTTCATACAGTTTTTTAATTGTTTCGTTGGCAATGAACATGTCGAGTATAGTAAGTTCCTGCATAGTTCTTATCCTAAGTCAGCTTTGATGTTGTAAGACTGAATGATAAAGACGTAACGGACTCCCCTGTTGAGGCAATTTATTTTTCTGACAGTGAACACGCCTTTGGGTGAGCGGGATTGGCCTCTGTGTATAAAATA